GACCAGCCCGCTTGCAAGAAAAGGGCGTTGGCTTTAATGGGAGGAGTTTTCAGCCACCCCCCAAATCCTGTCCGTGACACCTATGCTATTGCTCGACAGTATTACCGATTCATTCACAAAGATTACTCTGAAGCAACGCACAACAAATTCAAGTTTCTCCGTACAACCACATAGAATGCGAGATATAGCCACTCAGGCTCACTAGTGCAACACCAAATGTAAGAACCAGACAGTTCATAGTTGGCATAGAAGGTGTACCCTTCAGTTGGAAGAATCAAATACTATTGCATCTGCAGGTGTTCTAATTAAATGATACCGAGAAAACGCCTCGAAATCTGTGGAAAATTTTTAAGAAAATCACAAGTGGTTATGTTATCAAAACAAGAAATCGCCAATTCAACAGCTCCATGCTAGTTCGTAACTCAAAATTACCGTGTTATGCTAGAAGGAAAAATGAAGGTAAAAAAGTTTTGGGTATAAAAACCGGCCCTCCTCTGCATAAGGAGCCGGTTAAGTACCATGTTTCAGGTGCCATGCATTGTAGTTAGGCCGAAGATTATGATTACCAGACTCAAAGCTCTCACAATTTCTCTTGCACCGATCCGGAAAGGCAAACTTCTTTTCCCTCTAAATGGAGAGATCTCGTGGTATTCACACAAACTGCAGCAGAGCAGAAGAGAGCAATGAATTGCACTCACGCTCACTAAAAACTGTCTTGTCATCAGCGCCACTAAGACAAAAATAGTCCTCTTCCCACCTCCCCCCACCTATCTACGGGCTTTAGTATACATCAACAAGCTCTCAAGTTCCGAACGCTGTCAAAAAACAAACTTCATTGCTCCATTGGAGAAGGACAAGAGGAGGATGTCTGAGACTAGTGCAACAAGCAAGAAAAAGGTAATCAGGTCTTTCCTTTAACTGAATCATTTGACTACAAAAAACGGCAGCAATAAGAAAATGAAGTACGCAAACATGGGACAAGAAATCATGCATGTTTAATGCCCTACCGACAGAGCAAAGACCAGCCATTTTCCTTTCTTGTATATAAAACCAGGGGACTAACGAAGGTAAACCCAGACGACAACGGTTATTCCAGCTAATATTTAGCAAGCGTTCGGAATGACTCCTTGACCAATGTCTCTCATTGTGGTGAAATTGCGCAAAACAAGGTCAGCTGTAAAAATTATGACCATTAGACATACAAAATATTCGCAATTTCCAAGAGTATGCGTTGAATATTGGTAATAATTAATTAAGAAGACTTCTTAACACTTTCCAATCATCCTGAAAAGTTTCCTTACGTCGAAGGATGCAATGAATACCTTGTATGCCTCATTTGTAAATGAGCTCTCGATACTCATTAAAGATATAGAAAATTTCTCCACTGCATTGATCGGAAGATCTGTTGTCCTCTCCAAACGGCGGAACCACTAGCCAATATGAAGATGCACATTTACATCATGTGGCTCAAATTATAGGTGCATTCAGTTTTGTGTAAAGGTGTATAAGGCTTGGGATAATTATAGTGACGAGAGTTATTTTACCGGATAGATGGCGGAATAAGGGAGTGAGTGCATTCCATTTCACAGCGCCATCTTTACTTTTGCAGCCAAGCAATGCCAAAACAATTGGGTTATCCTACGAGTGCCTCTCAGAAGCCAAGAGGTAACAGCTAAGACCTGAGAACACAAAAGAAGTTGAGTAGAAGTGAACAGGTCTCCCAGAAACGAATGAGTGGGTGGAAAGCGTTAGTCCACTCTTTACCCCACCTCCGGAGCAGGTGATAGAGCAAACAGTGTTGGTGGTGTGCAAACGCCAATACAATGTGCAAATTGAATTTGCACAGTTAGTGAACTAGCAAAAAAAGGACGTGTAAATGGTAAAGCCCGAAAACTGATTAACCACCCCTCTTAGCCCCTTTCGTTTTTTCTGTTTAACGTGGAAAGGAAAAACAATTCCACGGACCGGTACAGTGCATA